CACATTTTGTTTTGATTGCCCATGGAACACATGCCAAGGCAAGCCTGGCCCATGAAGCCAACACTGGCAAATTTAAAAATGGGAAATTATCCAGACCATGCTCTTCTGTATAATGGAATCAGAGTCGAAAGCGATAACAGAAGATTAACAAGGACATCCCCAGTCACTTGAGAATCAAGTAGCACACTTCTAAACCATGTATGGATCAAAGAGGGCATCTAAAGGGACATCAGAAATTCATTGAACTGGATAAAATGAAAATTCAACAATTCCAAATGTTTGGGATGGAGTTAAAGAAGTGACCCTTCCCTATCTTGAACTTACCTGTGCATTGTGTACACATCAGAGGACAAGGGTCTCAGATCAATCATCTGAGCTCCTATCTCAATAGCTTAGGGTAAAAAGGAAAGTAAAATAAGCCCAACACAAGAGAGGAAGGAAATCAATGGGATGGAAACCAGAAAAGCTTTGGGGAAACCGATGGAACCAACATCTGGTTCTTTGGAACGGTCAGTAAGACTGCATCTCTCCAAGTCTGCTCCATCTTCACGAGACCTTGCCTCTTCCCTCTGTGTCTCCTCCTCTTCGCTCTCTTCTAAGGGTTCTTGGCACTGGATGTACAGCCCATCTGGATAATCCAGGAAGGGCTCATCTGGAAAAGCTTTGTTGTATTTACAAACACTACTTTCCTAATCAGGTTGCATCCAGAGCAGAGATTTCAGGGGGTTAAGATGTGGATACATCTTTGTATTCCATTCAATGTGTGACAAGAAGTTTGGTGAACCCTAACTCTTGCTCCAATATCTGAAGCTTGGAAATGCATTTGCCAGTGAGTGACAGCGGGGTAAAGTGCTTTATCTGCCCTGGCCCTGCCACGGAACCCTCGGCTCAATTTTCTTCTCTGTGAACTGACCACATGATGGCACCAACCTGTATTCATTTCCAGGGGATGCGGTGACAATTTACCACAAACGGAGTAGTTCTGGGCATCCTTGGCTGTATGTGACGGCATCTCTTCATATTTCTGCCTCTGCCTCATGTCTTCTCTCTATGTGCTAATCTCCCTCTGCTTCTCCTTTACAAGAACACGTGTGATGGCATTTAGAGCACACCTGGATAAACCAGGGCCATCTGCTCGTCTCAAGAGCATTAATTTAACCACATGGTATAGTGGTTACTCCTTGTGCTGCTGAAAGCAGGGTCAGCAGTTCCAAACCACCAGTAGCTCCAAGGGAGAAAAACAGGACTTTCTACTCCCGTAAAGAGTTATAGTCTCGGAAACCCACAGGGGCAATTCTAATTTGTACTATGAGTTGGCATGGGCTCGACGGCAGTGAGTATAACTTTACATAGATGGTACATTGGCAGGCAAAACTTTGGGGATAATATAAGCCTACCACACTATATTATATGTTTGTTATAAAGATTAAATTCTCAAAAACACTGCTCAGATAATGCCTGTTTTCTACTGCACATACTTTTGTAAAGAAGAAGGTGTTAGGGACTCATCTGAAGATGGAAGAGAACTGTGAGTAATACCCTGTCCCATTGCTTACTGGGAAGGTCAGTGTCCTTTCCAGTGCTTGCCCTGCATGTGTGGGCAGAGGCCTGCCCCCAGATCCAGCAAAGGATCTGGTCACAGCCCAGGAGAAGGCTGTGACCAGATCGGCCCCTGCCTCCTAGCGTACGTTCAGAGATAAGCAGGGACCTCCTCTGAACCTGTATTAATATGTACAGCATTTCACTCATATGGAAAATTGATTTTTCTTTTTAAGCACAAAATGGAGCAGATTTATAACCTTTCTGCAACTTGACAAAGGCCATTTATTACCTACTTTCTCTGTCATCCTTCCTGGCGCCACTCTCAAATGTCTCCAAGAACTCTCATGCATTTATAATTACAAGGTCTTTTTAGGCGAAATTTAATTTCCAAGAGGACTGACCTTTATATGTATGTGTGTGTGATTTAAATCAATGTGAGCGCACGTGTTGCTATTGTTCAGTACCCCACACTTGGAAGGGGGTGGGGAGTTAGTACGAGTGGAAGGACCTGGCTGGGGGAAGGCAGTGTTGGAGCTTTTCCATCAGTTGTGCCTAGTGATGGATGCAGGGGGCTGGGCTCTGGGTGTTAATCTCTGTGGACAGGAAGTGCCAGACGACCTCATTTTCTCTCCCAAAGGCAGGCGAGTTGAAACTGCTTCTCCATCGGCTGGCCTGCAGAAGGTGAGCCCAGCCTCATCAAATGAAGAAAATTAAGTCAATAGCCAGTTGAATCTACAGTCTGGAGTCCCTGTCAACAAATAGTTAACATGCTTGGCTGCCAATGGAAAGGTTGATGGTTTGAGTCCACATTGATGTGCTTTGGGGGGGAAATTAAAAAAAAAAAAAAAAAGACCTGAGGATTTGCTTCCAAGGTGGGAAAAAATAAATAAATCAGCCACTGAAACCCCTACAGAGCAAAGTTCTAGTTTGATGCACATCAAGTTCCACTTGATGACACCTAGCTCAAGAACTTCCGTTCCTAGAGCACCTCCCACCTGCCAGCCACTCTGAGAAGAACACTGGCTGAGGTCCCCAAAGGTGCAAAGACTTGCAGGTTGGCACCAACAGCATTTGTTTAGCAAGCAGAGAGTATGTGTGGTGTGGTTATGGGGCCTGGTGCAAATACATACATTAGGAGGCGCAATTATGAGCAGAGAACTTGAACTCATAGTACAGAAAACCCTGACCTGCCTGCTTCAGGAAGATGCCATATGTATGTTTCAATATTCAATTTTTGTAAGCTGGGGAGTGGCTTCTCTTTAGTTTGTCATTCTGATGGCCAATAAGGACGATAGTCTATAGGAAACCAGACTGGTAGGCTGCTGACTGGTTAGGGGACCTTCGTGTGTTCCAGTTGTAACTATGGGGGAATCACCATGAGGGCCCCAGGAACAAGAGTGGTGAAAAATTCACTCAAGACAAGGCAGAAAGGAATTCCCATTTTATGATCATCAAGTGATGTTCCAGCTTCTGAAAGAGGATTGTGCAAATTGAATTGAATTGCACCTTCCCAAGTATGCATTGTTAATCCCAGCCACCCCTGCCCACCAGCCCCTCCGCAGTGGTTATAATCCCATTAGGGAATAGAATGTCTTTAGTATGTTAATGAGGCAGTATTCCCTGTAAGGCATGTTTTAAGTCAATCGCTTGTGAGTTATAAGAAGAGATTAAACAAGGTAAGGGTGGGCAGAGATGCCAAGTCCCTTAAAGATTGCTAAGGAATCCAAGCGATGGGCACGTTCTTCCAGGGCATACCCAGAGGAAACCTTCCCTAAGAGACAGCACACTGAATTCAGACTTCTAACCTCGTGACCTGTGAGAAAATAAATCTAAATCTCTATCTGTTAAAGCTACACGCGTGTGATTGTTCTGTTACAGCAACAGCAGATAATAACTAAGGCATAAAGTGCTTGAATGATCCAATTAAGGCTTCATGACAAATCTGTAGTTGTTTAGTAGTTGATGAAGGTCAGAGACGGTGAATCACCTGTCTCTAGGTCACACAGAGTGAAAGGAGAGGAGCTGGGATTTCAACGTGTGTTGATACGGTTCTTTAACATATACCAGGCTGCCTTTCTTTCTATTTTTTTAAATCATTTTATTGGGGGGCTCGTACAAATCTTATCACAATCCATAATCCATCCATTGTGTCAAGCACATTCGTACATTTGTGGCCATCATCATTCTCAAAGCATTTGCTTTCTACTTGAGCCCTTGGTATCAGTGCCTCATCATTTCCCCTCCCTCCTCAACCCCCCTCATCAACCCTTGATAATTTATAAATTATTATTTTGTCATGTCTTACACTGTCCGATGTTTCCCTTCCCCCACTTTTCTGTTGTCAGTCCCCCAGGGAGGGGGTTATATGTAGATCCTTGTAATCGGTTCCCCCTTTCCACCCCACCTTCCCTCCACCCTCCCGGTATCGCCACTCTCACCACTGGTCCTGAGAGGTTCATCTTTCCTGGATTCCCTGTTTCCTGCTCCTAGATGTACCAGTGTACATCCATCCTCTGGTCTAGCCAGATTTGTAAGGTAGAATTGTGATCATGATAGTGGGGAGGGGGTGGTGGTGGAGAGGAAGCATTTAAGAACTAGAGAAAATTTGTATGCTTTATTGCTATACTGCACCCTGACTGGCTCATCTCTTCCCCGTGACCCTTCTGTAAGGGGATGGCCAGTTGCCTACAGACGGGCTTTGGGTCCCCACTCCACCCTCCCCCTCCTTCACAATATGATTTTTTGTTCTTTGATGACCAGGCTGCCTTTCTGAGAGACTTTTATAGCAGAGACCATTTAGGACTGTAGATGATAGATGATAGATAGATGATAGATAGATAGATAGATAGATAGATAGATAGATAGATAGATAGATAGATAGATGATAGATAGATTTATTGAATTTATGATCCCTGCAATAAATCACTTCTCATCAAGTCAATTCCAATTTGCATCACGGTCACCCCATGCAGGGTGTAGGGTTTCCAATGGCTGGTGCTTTGGGGCATAGATCTCTTCCCAAGACTTTCTCCCGAGGTGCCTCTGGGTGGACTCCTACCTCCAACGGCCCTTCCAGTTAGCAGCTGAGTAGATACCAAGGTCACCCCCAAAGGACTCTCTTCATGATCCATGCCACTCCCATCCGCTGTGGGGTCGTCCTGTGAGCCACAGCATCCTTAGCTCTTTGCCGACATTTCCCCTCTTCCTTGTCAACAACACTATGAGGCAGCTATTCACAAAAGCTCCATTTTACAGGTGAGACCACTAAGGCTCTGAGAGGTCACGAGGGTGTCTGAAGCCACCCAGAGGTCACGAGGGTGTCTGAAGGCCACCCAGCTAGTGGCCTAGCAGAACTCTTTCTTTTCCCACCAAAGGTGGAAGAGGAGAGGGTGTGCTGATGGAGCGGCCACGGACTCAGCCCTAACCACACTGTTGTCCCGCCCCCTCTCTCTGAGCAGTGTCCGGAGGAGCTGAAGCCCATGAAGGATGGCTCGGGCTGCTATGACCACTCCAAAGGCATCGACTGCTCTGACGGCTTTAACGGCGGCTGTGAGCAGCTGTGCCTGCAGCAGACCCTGCCGTTGCCCTACGACACCACCTCCAGCACCATCTTCATGTTCTGCGGGTGAGTCACCCCTACCCCCACCCACCCCCAGGCCTGGCACCCCTTCTCCAGAGGGGTGGAGCGGTCCAGAAGAGTGCCTGGTAAAGTGGTCTGGGCTGACCTTCTACTAAATGACCTTTCGCCCTGTCTTTTCTTAATGCCAAAGGCAAAACCTTGTGTTGTTGGGCATTGGGAAGGAAAAACGAAAGAATAAACATAATTAAATTGAATTCAAACCCAGGCTGTAACCTGCAGAGGGTTTTTCTCTCTCCCCCAACCTGACGGAGATCAGGCATCTTGAAGGTATCGACCATGAAAATGTATCAAGCTTAGCTCCGACTTTGAACTGGGTTCCTGCAGGAGTTTAGCAGTCCGTGTTCTGAGTTTAGCCCACCTGTGCCCTAAGGTGCTGCATCTGCCTTATTTGTTGCGTGGGCAGGGGAAGAGGGTACAAGTGGGAGAAAGAATGCAGGTGGATTCCTGCTGAGACTTAAAGTGTAGGTTTAAAGTGAGGATGAGGCTCACGAGGCCTGAGGGACATTGGGTAGTCAGGTTCTTTCTCTGGGATCGGTCTGACCATCCGAAATGAGGTCCTCAGACACTGATGGCTAATGATTCTTCCAACAGCTCCTGTGTTCCAAGTCAAGGTTAGTAGTGGCAGTCACACCGGCCTGTGAAGGCCCCGGCCTCGTGTTGGAGCCTTACTCACCCCTCAAAACAAACTAACAAACAAAATGAGGGGACACACCTTCCCCTCTTCAGTGTCTTTCCTTGTTGCGTCTCCTTTCTCTCTGGATATTTGCTCATCTTGGACATTCTGTGACTCGGAAAGATAACCTGTGGGTGTGTGAGAATGTTGACCGTTAAAGACCCGAGTATGTTCCGTGCACTCTTTTCGTCAGACAGAAAAACAGAGTAAGACATTGAACAATCTTTTCAGGCCTAAAAAAGCAAAGGCCAGACTCTGTGTCATCGAGTCCCTCCTCGTTCATAGTGAACCAGTGGCATAGGGTCGAACTACCCTGCGCATTTCCAAGACGGTAACTCGTTACAGGAACAGACAGCCTCATCTTGCTCCTGTGGAATGCCTGGTGGTCTCAAACTGCTAACCTTGAAGGAAGAAAAAGCATGGGTGGGTGGTGTAGTTTATGGGTTCGATCTCAGTTTTCCAGAAAATGAATTTAACAAGGCCTCTTCTAGTTATAAAGGCCCATGCTCCTCCCAGGGCTGGTTTCTGGAGCTCCCTCCCTGCCCCAGTTAGACCAGGGGTGGGCTGCCAGGTGTATTGGAACAGGTGGTGGAGCAGCTCGCTGGAGGCCCTCATTATGCATCAGTAAAACAAATAAGAAATAAATTAGTATATGCAGATCTGAATTTATGGTGGTCTCCCCTCAGCGTAAGAGACTGCAGGGCATCGTGGAGTAAATTATGCATGACCTCAGTTCTGCAGGCTCCAATCAGTCAACTGTCTTCTTATCTTTGTTACTCCCCAGCCCCCCAAACTAGGGGAAGGGGAGTCTCCTTCTGTGCCAAATAACAAGAGTAACAGCAGCAGCAAGATTGAATTTTGACAAGGAAAAATACACCTTTGGCCACATTATAATTAATGGAAGTTTGGATTCCATAGACCTGGGCTCTGTTTCTGACTCTGCTATTGATTGGGCAAAGACTCCCAGCCCCATCTGAATTTCTGTTTCCTCATCAGTACAATGCTGTTGATGCCTCCCTCTTATCACGGCAGTGGTCCTGGGTGGCACAATGGTTAATGTGCTTAGCTTCTCACTGAAGGGTTGGAGGCTCCAGTCTGCCTAGAGGTGCCTTGGAAGAAGGGCTGGGCTATCTAGAGAGGTTGGCCTGTAACATCCCAGTGGCACAGGCTTTTACCCTAGTGCACACGAGGTCTCCATGAGGGAGGCTCAAGTTGATGGCATCTGACCACTGGTTTCAAAACGAGTGGTTTTGAAGATGGTAAAGTTCCTTATGCTGATCACCCCCCTTCAATCACTCTGCAGGTGAAAGATGAGGCTTTTTACTACTGTAAAAGAGTAGAAAGAAACCCACAGGAGCTGTTCTCCCTAGGCTGTAGGGGTGCCATGAGTTAAAATTGACTCTCTGACAGTGAATTTGGGGTGGAGGGGTGTTGGGGTGTTTTTTTTTATGGTGCTCGAGGTAGTTAGTTTATTGTCCCAACCTGGCCGATAAACACATGTGGAGTGAATTGAAGGGCTGAGGGATAAATGGCTCAGTGAGCCTCACCTTTCTAGTTCTCGGGTCTCGTGCTTTGTGATGGTTGGACCAGGGTGCAGCTGCCTTAGCAGTTACCTGCTTTAGCTGGCAAGGCTCACTTCCTGCAAGACATCCCTGAGGAGAAGCCGCAGGGACCTACCCTGATGCAGCCCTGGGTGCTGGAGCAGCCATGTGGAGACCACTGCTAGTGCTGAGATGCTTACACATTCACTGATTCAGCTTTGCTCCTCAGCGTCGTTGCGTCTGCTTTGTGAGATGGAGGAGGACTTTGTGGATTGGTGGCAGGCATATGGGTTCATGTTGGACTTGTGGGCTTGGGCAGCACTGGGTTGGGATGTTTTCTTGATGCGCACTTATCCTTTATATAAAACTCTCTTGTACATGAGTTTCTGTGGGTTTGTTTCTCTCAAGTACCCAGATGAACACAGTGCTCTAGTGGTTACGAGTGAGGCTGCTAATTGTAAGGTCCAGAGTTGAGCCACTCTGTGAAGGGAAGGTGCGACTTCTCACTCCGGTAAAAAGGTGACAGTCTTGGGAAGCCCCAGGGGCAGTCCAACCCTGTCTTAAAGGGTCGCTATGAGTCAGAATTGACTCTGTGGCAGTGAGTTTGGAGGGTGAGTTAGTTAATTGTGCCAGCCTGGCCGATAATCACATGTGGTGCTGGTTGAAAGGCGGAGGGATAAATGGGTGGTGAAGCCTCGCCTTTCTAGTTCTCGGGTCTCTTGTTTTGTGATGGTTGCACCGGGTGCAGCTGCCTTAGCAGTTCCCTGCTTCAGCTTGCAAGATGGATTTCCTACAAGACATCCCCAAGGAGAAGCCGCATGGATCTATCCCGATGCAGCCGTGGGTGCTGGAGCAGCATGTGGAGACCCCTGCCAGTGCTGAGATGCTTACATGTTCACTGACTCAGCTTTCCTCCTGCAGTCGGCATCATTGCCTCTGTTTTGTGAGGTGAAGGACTTTGTGGACTGGTGTTGGGTATGGGTTAATGTTGGACTTGTGGGCTTGGGCAGCATTGGGTTGGGATGTTTTCGTGATGCACATTTTCTTTGCATAAAACTCTCTCATACGTGAATTGCTGTGGATTTGTTTCTCCAAAGTACCTAGACTAATACAGAGGGTGAGTTTTACCTTGCCCAAGGTCAGACAGTTGGTAGGATAGCTCACTGCCTCCTTACGCAGGGGCTTTAAACAAGTGACCAGACATCTCTGTGCCTCATCTGTGAAACAGCAATACAACAATGCTAGTATCTGACCACAGACTGGTTTCAGGAGCCCTCCTGGCATGGAAATTAAAGCACTCAGCTGCAGCACTTGTAGCCCACTACCCCTCCCCGGGAGAAAGATGAGGCAGTCTACTTCCATAAAGATTTATCGCCTTGAAAACCCTCTGAGGCAACGCTACTCTTCCTGAAGGGTCTCTCTAAGGCAGAATCGACTTGCTGGCAACGAGTTTGGCTTGGTTTTTACAGGCTTGTTAGGAAATGCATTAATCTTTGTTAAGAGCCCCGTCGTCATAGTGGTTGTGCATTGAGCTGCTAACCGCAAGGTCAGTTCCAAAGCGCCAGCCGCTCCTTGGGAGAAAGTTGAGGCTTTCTACTCCTGTAAAGAGTTACAGTCTTGAAAACCCACAGGGGTATTTCTCACCTGCCCTTACGGACGGCTGTGAGTCAGAACTGATGAGATGGCAAGAAGTGAGTTTAGCTCGTGTCTACTTTCAACCAGTTCATGGGAAAATTCCACTTCCTACAAACTTTTGAAACCCTTTCAGATCTGTCCAGCATGCTGGCCTCTTCCCGCTTACTCAGGATCTGGTTTTCAGCCTGTTAGTGGTGGAGTCTATGCAATAGGACAGACTAGCCTTCACAGGAAAGACCGCTGAAAACCTTAAATGAGATGATCAGGGTGAGAGTGGTTGTGAACCACTACTGTGGCTCTTCCAAATGCTGATGCACACGGCAAGGATGAAAACGTGACCCCGTCTCCTCCCAGGACCTGCAGTTTCCATTCCAGCATGCTTTGGAAAGTGTCTAAGAAGGATACACATTAGAAGCTAGCACCACTTGCTAGCACCATCAACAAAAACAGTGAGACATTAGTGGGTACTTTCTCTCTAAGTGGGTTACACGTTGGGCTGCGAATTGCAAGGTCAGCCGTTCAAAACCACCAGCCTCCCCGCAAGAAAAAGATGGGGCTTTCTAGTCCTGCAGGGAGTTACAGTCTCAGAACTGCCCAGGGGCATTTCCACCCTACCCTGTGGGGTTGCTATCCCTTGGTTGCTACTGGATGGCAATGAGTTTGAGACAGAGTGGGTTTAAGGAAGTGGGATGGAGTGGGATTTAGCAGAGAAAGTAAACTGTTTCCAGGCCCATTCCCAAGGTGTTCAAAGCTCTGTGACCTTTCTAAAAATGTTCCTGGCCAGGAGCAATTGTAATGAACCCCTTTGCAGGCAGGTTACTAAATGACAGCTCACCCTGACATGCCCCGATGTGCCGAAGGAGCTCCGGTAGTGCAGTGTTTGACCAGAAGATCGTCGGGGTGAGGGGTGGCGGCTTGAACCCACTGCCACTCCTTGGAAGAAAGATGTGGCAGGCTGAGCCTGTAAAGAATTACAGCCTTGGCTTAAGTTAAGCAAGTTGCACCTAGCAGGAAAGCAAAAAAGCCCACATGAAAGAAGCACATTACCCTGTATGATCATGAGATGTCGACAGGATCAGGTATCAGCTATCAAAAGATTCAAAAGACCAACCAGCTATCAAAAGATTCAAAAAAAC